CACGCACTCAAGACGCCGGGCAGGAGCCCCCCGCCGCCAGGTTAAAAAGATTTGGCAACCCTAATCTGGAGCACAAGCAAAGGTGCAATGGTTCTGCCTATTTGTGGTTAAATCTTCTCTAGTTAACCCATCCAACTATGAATTTCAAGTCCAGTATACAGATACTCCTGTATAGACATCTATCTTCATTATAAGCCAGACAACAAATTCAGAGGACCGCTATCCTTGCTATAGTTGAACACACTCTTCCTTGGTTGTTACTATAGAAAGTGTAGAGGAAGAGCTAATTATCTGAAAATCCAGCTTAAGCACCTTCTCAAGAGATTTCAAGGTGAGTAGTGTGAACAAATTTACAGTTAAGTGTGCAGGTATGTGATCTGTCATGTATTCTAGTTCGGTCTACTTTTCATGCAACTAATTTGCCACATGCTGGAGAAGTGTGAAAGGAATGAAAGAAAAGTTATTACATGCCAGTGAGCTTCCAGTGCCAAAGTGAAGTCTTGTGTGGTTTTAGTTTAACACACATTATAAACCCTCTACCATTACTGTTTTTTTCTTTCTTGATAAGAACAGTCAGTAAATAACTTGTAGTTCTGAACTGCAAAAGAATAAAAAACCACACAAATGAAGCACTTTATATTTCATGTTTGAAGAAAAAAAAGATTCTTACCTCATACTAGATTTTGCCAGAATAAAAACTCTTGCCTTAAGAGATGGATTCTAATATGTCTTAGCACACAAAATTTTAAAAAAGTTTAACCATTGAAATTGATTAAACTAAACCTTAGCTGAACCTTATTTGTGTGAATTTACTCACACCTTTCTCGCAACAACTTTATGAAAACAACCTCTGTCATCTTTGTCTGCAGCAATGAAAAAGCCAAACTCTATGTTGGGAATTATAGACTCATAGAATCGTAGAGTTGGAAGGGGCCATACATACCATCTAGTCCAACCCCCTGCCCAATGCAGGACCAGCCTAAAGCATCTCTGGCAAATATTCATCCAGCCTCTTCTTGAAAGCTGCCAGTGAAGGGGAGCTTACCACCTCCCTAGGCAGCTAATTCCACCTTTGAACCACTCGGACCATGAATAAATTTTTCCTAATATCCAGCCGATACCTTTCTGCATGTAATTTAAACCTGTTGCTTTGGGTCCTATCCTCTGCTGCCAACTGGAACAACTCCTTGCCCTCCTCCAAATGACAGCCTTTCAAATATTTAAAGAGAGCAATCATGTCCCCCCTCAATCTCTTCTTCTCCAAACTAAGCATTCCCAAGGCCCTTAAGCCTTTCCTCGTAGGACTCACTCTCCAGACCCCTGATCATCCTTGTCACCCTTTTCTGCACCCTCTCGATTTTGCCCACATCCTTTTTGAAGTGAGGCCTCCAGAACTGCACACAGTACTCAAGGTGCAGCCTGACCAAGGCAGTATACACAGGGGCTATGACTTCCTGCAATTCTGATGCTATGGAAAGGGGTTGAAAATATTAGGAAAGGGGTTGAAAATAAAATGACCAATATTATAATACCCCAGTAATATTTGGAATACAGTATATAGTTCTGGTCACCATATCTCAAAAAAGATATTGCAGAGCTGGAAAAAGT